TGACGCCTCAGCGCGGGTCATACCGACAGCCATCATCATGCCCTTCTGGCCGTCTTTACCGCCGGCAAGGTGAGCAGACATACCCCTGTAGTAGGAGATGAGCATGGCATCGCGAGCGCTAAGCACGCCGGCGGCATAGGCAGCACTGATCTCGCCGGATGAGTGGCCGACAACGGTGTGGAAGGAGACATTGATACTGCTAAGTAGGTCGATAAGAGCAATCTGCACCGCAGTGCAGAGGGGCTGAGAGAGTGCGGCAATGTTGATGCGAGAGGCATCATCCTGATGGATGAGCTCCTCAATGAGGGACCACGTGGGCGGGTGGGGGCAAGACTTGAGAACCTTCTCGAGGTTCTCAATGGTGTTCCTATAGACGCTGCTGGAGTGGAAGAGCTTACGGCCCATGCCGGACCACTGCGCTCCCTGACCAGTGAAGATACCGAGAATCTTGACTTCGCCGCCGTCGAGCTTGGCGCGAACACCAAGCTCAGGGTTGGAAGAAGACCCGGCTTTGGAGAGAAGGTTGTCGAGGGCGGCAATGACTCCATCGCGGGAGTCCGCGCTGATGGCGGTGCGGTAGGTCAGGGCCGAACGATGGGCGTACAGGTTGTAAGCGACCTCGTCGCCCGACTTGTCAGTCGACGCCATGAAGTCACGAAGGGCCTGGGCCACAGCAACAAGAGACTTCTGTGACTTGGCAGAGATGACTAGAGGAAGGCCGACAGCGAGAGCTTCGGCGTCATAGGGTGTGGTGGTGAGCGACGAGACTGGTGCCTCCAGTGCTGGAGCGAAGTGCTTCGCGACTTCATCGTGGATGCTAGGCTCGTACTTCTCGAGGATGGCATGGGAGTTGGTGCCGCCGAAGCCGAAAGAGTTGACGCTTCCTCGGAGGGGCTGGCCAGTCGGGGCCTGGGGCCAAGGGACGATATCGACGGGGATTCGGAGGTGTCCGTAGAACGGCTTCACGCTAGGGTTGAGGGTGTTGAGATGCAGGTTGGGTGGAATGCAGTTGTTGATCATGGAGTGGGCCACCTTGAGGAGGCCAGCTAGACCCGCGGCGCCTTCCGTGTGGCCGATGACCGTCTTGATGGATCCGACTACAAGCTTCGTATCGTCACTCTCGGCAGTAGTCTTGGCCTCGTTGCCGAAGAATGCCGTTGAAATGGCCTCGGCCTCCCTGGGATCTCCGGCCTGGGTGCCAGTTCCGTGAGCTTCGAAGTATTGGGGTCTATCACTGGGATTCTGTGAGTCCAGGCCGGATCTACGGTACGTGTCCCGAATCAACTCGGCTTGGGCGAGGGGGCTGGGCATGGTGATACCCTGAGTGCGTCCGTCCGAGTTCACACCAGTCTCTCTCACGATGCTGATGATGGAGTCGCCGTCTCTCAAAGCCTGAGACAGTGGCTTGATGAACAGAGCCGCAAAGCCTTCACCGCGGGCGTATCCGTCTGCACTCACATCCCACATCTTTGATGTGCCTGTAGGGCTGAGCATGTGCAGACTGGCCTCGCTGATGAATTGCTCGGGGGTGATCATCAAGTTAGCACCGGCGACACAGGCCATCTCGCACTCACCGGACCGGAGACTCAAGACGGCCTGGTGAAGAGCGACGAGACTTGATGAGCATGCTGTATCAATGGTCATTGAGGGACCACGGAAGTTGAAGAAATATGAGATTCGGTTAGAGAGAATAGCCCGTGAGTTGCCTGTTGCGAAGTATTGATTCGATGTAATGTCGTCTCTTTGGCATAATGAGTCGTAGTCTGCTGTCATGAGCCCTGCGTATACGGCAACCTTCTTTCCAGCGTATTTCTCGAGTGTATATCCGGCCGATTCCAAGGCTTCGTAGACGACTTCGAGGATGATGCGTTGTTGAGGGTCGATGGCCTCGGCCTCCTTGGGTGTGATGTTGAAGAATCCTGCGTCCCATACACGGTGATCTTCCTCGAGAAAGTAGCCCTGTGTTGCGTTGGTTGCTCCATGGTATTCGCCGTCTGGGTGGTAGAAGCCTTGGGCGTTAAACCGGTTGCTCGGGACCTCTTGTGATAATTGTCTGGGGTTGGTGAGAAGATCCCAGAGTTTTGTTGTTGATGTTACGTCGCCAGCGAATCGACAACCTGTGCCAACAATGGCTATAGGCTCTGACTGGGGTTTCTTGTAGGTAGACATTGCTGTCAGGGGTATTTCTAGGATAATTAGGTATTATGGGGGGGTTGGAGAGAGAAAAGAGAAGAGTATAAAACTCCGTGTAAGTCGTCGACACGTGGGCTGAATTGTCCGATGCGTGAAGATGGAGGTAAGAGGTATAACAATAGGGAAGAATGGGAAGGGCTGTGGTGATCGAGGGAAAGACATCATACTGGACGGTGCGATATGAAGGGATATATAGACAATCAGTTGATGGCAGCAACAATATCAAACCTCGCGATGGTTCCTCCCTGGCGGACAGTGTCGATTACATGACGCCTGTGCCCCCATGTCAAAAAAGTAAGGGGGCAAACCGCCTTACTCCGCCTAGACCCAAGCACCCAGAAACCCAAGACCCAAGATCCCAGATCCCCCACGGTACGGGGGTGTGCTGAAGAGGAACTGGGGGGGATCTGGGAAGGGGAGGGGCGTAGGGGGCGTGTGGGAGTGTGGGATGGAAGTTGAGTTGAGGTTCGGCGATGGTTTGTCTGTTGGTGGATCAAAAGGGGTGGTTCGGAGTTCCGTGGCCGAAGAATGTCTCGAACGGTCGCCGGGATTATTTGGCGTGCACGTTCGGCGTTGACTATTTTAGTTGCCAGCAAACAAACGGGATTCCGACTATTATTTAGTCAGCCAGTCTCTCGATCTCGGTCTCGCAGACGCCATCGGCCGCCCGGGAGGCTTGATAAGACGGCGCCTCTTCTTCAACGACGGCTCATCCAGCGTGTGTAAAAGTGACTTACGTCTGTTTCGGCGCTGGGAGCAACCGATGTCATCAAAGACTCAAGCAAGAGAGACCTGACGACGAAAACGGTCCTGTACTCAAGAATTTCGGAAGCGCGATCCGTTCCGTAGTGACTTTTAACTTTCATAAAGTCAATGTATCAACGTGCATATCTTCCTCGTGGAGAATATGGGGTACTTGCACATGAAAGACGTTTCTTTGTCCCGCGTGGTTCAGATTGAGGCTGTCTTGGCTCCTCATGTCTAAAAGTGACTCCATCCGATCCTATGAACTCCATGACACAACTCCATCCGTCGTCCAATTCTCCACACTAAGCATATTGAGAAGCAAACCGAGGCCATCAATACAGCAATTTGCACTATCTAACATGGTTACACTCCTTGGCTTCGTCTTCATCCGTCAAGAGAAGTCTCCATTGCCTTCCGTAGATCCTTTAGTTCCTTGCCTAGGCTTTCTTCTTGCCTCTTCAGTGCCTGAAATGAGACATCGACTACTCCAGAGAACATTGAGGCTGCATCAGGGGCCTTTCCCGCTGGTGAACCATCCGATCGCAGAGTCGGATCGAGTGATGCAGATGCTCGCCGCATCTGTAAAAGAAACTCTTCCGCTAACTGAATCGTAAGAGACATCTGGAGGGACGGCGCCGAGTCGACGGCAAAGGAGCCCACGGTGACGCCAGGAAGTTTCCATGACTGAAACAGGTGACCCGACTCAAGCTGATTTAGCTCTGAGTGAATGCAGCTGAAGACCTTCTGGTACATGTCTAGAAGCCGAACATACGTCGAGAGGACGAAGAGACAGGTCGCCGGATCCGACAAGGAGTTGAGTCCTTTGGCTAGTACAGAGTTCCCGCCATCGCTTGCGGGAGAGGCGGCCTCCATCGGTGGAGACATTTCCGCAAGAAGGTCAGCAAAGTGTCGAGAGAGTTTGAACATCTCATCAACTGGGAAAGGCGCCGAGGTAGAGCTTCCGTCATCGGGCGTTGAGGCTATGCTGGATCGGCCGGGCTCCTCGGATGAGTCGATGTGCGCGGGTAGGTTTGACGAGAGCTCAAAGAGCCTGGAGTTGACTTCGGTGATGCGCGGCATCCACTCTCCAGTCGATGGTCCTTGGCCAGCAGCGTACGGCCGGAGCATGATCTGCCTTGTTCTTTGCTTGACACGCTTCCTTGCTCGCCGTGGTGGAGTAAAGTCATGCGGCTTACTCGATCTTGAAGAAGATTGCCTTTGCAACGCAGGGCTTCCGAGATAGACCCGGCCGACCTGGTCTGCTTGCGGTGCCATGGGTGAGGTGAATGCCGAGTCTGAAGTTGCCGAGTGGACTGGGCTCCACGGATGGGTAATGGAATCTCCATGTCCTGACATCAGATCGTCCATGGCTCCGGTGAAAGTCTGGGGTAATTGTTGTTGGTTTGTGCTGGGTTGATAGAGGCCGGCAGAGTTGCCGAAGCCAAAGTCGAAATCGACCATGTCAAGCATGGCCTCAGGTGAAACGACAGCATTGTCTCCGAATGCCGTGTTACCACAGACGGGACCACCATGTTGGGTCTTGACGATAACTACACGAGGCAAGAATCATTAGTAAAGGGAGGATTATTCTAGACAAGTCAAAGACACCAAAGACTCACCTTGATCGGACTGTGTGACTTGGGCGGCCCCGCTCTCTGTACGCTGCCGCTTGGGAGTCGGGATGGCTCTTCGTACAACCTCTCCTGTTGAGCCGTATTGGTGGTGGTTGTGGTTGTGGTGGTGGTGCTGCTGCTGCTGCTGCTGCTGACTGTGTTGCTTGCGATACCGCAGAGAAGGGCTCGAAGTGCACTCTTCCTTGAGTCTGATACAGCGCTCACAAGCTTCATCGCCGACGCGCTTACAGCTGAGCTTCTGCCTATGACACCGATCGCAGGCCTTCCGAATCGGACCGTCAGACATTGTCACTGCCATGGTTCGGCGTTTGCAAAACAAGAACAATTTGCGAGGGAATTCCAGAGAGTCGGGGGTGAGGGGAGGTGTGTAGTCAAATAGGCCTGGATCCATTCGACCAAGAAGTGGGCTGCTCCGATCCCTAGTCAATGAGACAGCTACACATGAATGCTTTTCTCTCGACCGGGGACAAGAGTACCGTTGATGAGGTGCAGGGCAAAAAGAGAGAGATCCAGCGAGCAGGCGAGGTACCGAAGAGCATCGACTACGATACGACCCGAGCTGATCCATTCCTCGCCGCAACCATAGCCCGCTCGGTCGAAAAAGCACTGGATGTGCCGGGCTACCTTGATTGGACAGTCATCGGCTAGCCTTGGAGCGAGATAGTAAAACATGGCGAATATGGGCGAGGATGCTGGACCTTGTCCTCTCGGACTGGAAAGAAATAGCATCTGGGCTAACCTCCCCAGAACTACGGACCGGGATATGGGAAAGGTATCCGTACCTCTGGCATGAAAGGTAGCCTGCCTGGTAGGTGTCCGTAGCAGGAAAAAGGACGACGAGGAGGGAGTGGAAAGGGGGTGTACAGAACAACTACAGACAAGACTCAAGTCTCCTCCTTCCAGTCAGTCCATCCAGTCTGGTTCGTTCGAATCGAGCAGACAACAGCACCGCTTGCTCGCCTGGACAACCAATAGGCACTTCCCCGGCGGCCCAGCACCACGGTACAGACCTTGCCTGACTTCAGCGATCCGATGTTCATTACTAGACAGTATGAGAGCACGATGCCTGAAAGAAGAAACCTGCTCCACTAGCTCGCAGACAGAAAGACAGAGAGACAGAGAGAGATACATGTCTCCAGTCCCCCAGTCTCTAGTTCTCCTCTCTTCAATCTGCACACTGCACAGAGCTGCACTAACCAGCCCAGGATCACTTGCAAGGGGCCGGAAGATCCACCAGGGTCCCTGTCTGTGGAGACGATGAAACATGCAAAAACGAAGTGTCAGAACTCAGAAAAGGTTTGGACAGATGTGGCATGGAAAAAGGACAAAGAAAGCTCTCTCCAGAGAGAGAAAACATAAAGAGCTTTTTTTTCCCACCATGACGGGCCACCATCCGCCAGGTGTGGCGTCTGTCTGAGTCTCTTACCCACCGTCGAGTCGAGTCGAGTCGAGCCGATGTTCCTAGGTACCAAGGTAACTCACCACTCCAATCCGCTCCCCCACCACCGCGCGGCATGGCCTTGGACCACTTGGTCTCCCATCGTCTCCTGTGGTCTCCTATGGTCGACAGGGACCGCAAGAGCATGCAGAACGTGGCTGAAAGGGCGGGTCCCCGAGTTTGTGTGCCAAGGAATGGCCTAGGGGCAAGTGGTGATCCTGCTTCGACGGCGTCGTCGATGGACGTCACATTTAGCACCCATCTTCTTCAGGAAAACGGTGCAGCGCGGCGCAGGCACCAGATGCTGTGCAACCTGTGATCGCGATTCGAGCTTTTCGACGCCTAGCCTCGGGTTCGACTTGGATCGCTTGCCTCATATGTCAGATGTCACAAGGTGGCAGAGATAACGGCGAAGCCTTCCCCGCCGCCTCTGCCTCGTCCCATCGAGCCTTCTGGCCAAGATCCATCGAGCTATCAAGCGGCTTCGGGAAGCTCTTCAACGACACAGCCGACCACGTAAGTAGACTCCACGACGGCTTGGATTAGTCTCCTAGTCTCCGTAGTCGCCGTGATTCTCGCAACGTAGCCAATGGAGAGAGCCGTCTTGGCTCGAGTAGAGTCCAGATTCAGTTCGATGACCAACTTGGTGAGCCGGCGGGCTCGGGGATGGGATGGACGACACGACCTGACACGACGACACGACACCGGGCAAGCGGGATGAAGCCAAGCCGATGTTGCTTAGCCGATGGATGGAGCAATTTCAGTCAAGACCCAGAAATCAAGCCGCAAAATAAAACTGTCTAACGGTTTCGTAGACATGTTTGCTCGTTATGCGTGGAAATTGTCAGGATTCGAGGGTTGTTTGCTTCCTTTGCTGGGCTGGCTTGCGTGGTTGTTTGTTACCAAATATTTGTTGGTGGCTGCGAACCCGGCAATCTGGATTTTCGACCAGGGTACCCCGTGTTTGCGCCGCAGTGTACCAGACGAGATGGGAGCCCCCAAGTGATTGATGCAATCTGGAATCCCACGATTGTCACAGTGCGTTATTGCCAGGGGCGGGGGACACTGATGCCGTGCCGTGATGACCTCAGGCACGATGACCAGCTAAAACGAGAGGGGAGGCATCCCGCACCACCCGGGCGAAGCACACCTGCAGCTGGACTTCTGTGCCTCCTTTTGCCTCGCTCGGTGAAGTTCGGAGTCAGCGCCGGGGGCAACCAGGGCCGAAGTTGACGATTGGGAGGCCCAGTGACAACATCTTCATCGGGGAAAAAAAGTAATGCCGTAGTCGACTAAGGAAGTTATGGTGGGAAGTTGTTGTGGACTAGGAGACAGCCTTGCGACGAGAGGCCGTTGAGTAGGGCCCGTTGTGGGTTTAAGCAGGTTAGATCGGTAAGGATACGGCCGAGAAGGTGGCAGGAAGGCGCCGTCTCTTTGTCGTGCGGGAAGGCCAAGTAAGCGCTGTAGGCGGGCAGTTGGCGGGCGCGGTTGGATGGCAAGCGGGAGACGATGTCGATGATGAGCAGAGCATGAGAGTTCCTAGGCTGGCGCGCCGTCGACGGTGAGTAACGTGCATTCCCTTAGAGCTGCGTGCCGGATTGGGGAGAATGCAGTTTTAGTGCGCGATATCGAGGAGCTCCAAAGTGTGGGTGGCTTGATTGCTAGCAAGGATCACCGACACTACCCCTCAAGACGGACCCTTGCAAGCTTCTGGTATCCGCTGTGCCATGGTCAAATCCGGACGTCAGAGGGCGACCCGACGTGATGGCGCAAATAGCTTAAGGAAAGCTAGTGATCTCACAGCTAAGAGTTGTTGTTTGGGCTGTCAGACCCTTGCCATTCGATAGGAACGGCGGGATCCCGTGCGGAGTATCCTACGGAGTACGGAGTAGAGGAGGATAATACGACGGACGATTGATACAGTCGAGAATCCTCGGGCCAAAACAAAGGTGCCCGTGTCTGCCCTGGCTGGAGACAAAACTGGAATCTCTTTTTGTGTCAAGGGAGGCTTTTGAGGGACACAACGAGACACGAAAAAAGGTACGAGAAACCGAGGTGCGTTGCACAAGGTGTGAAAGGCGGAAGAGGCCGTGTCGCCCAGCCTTCGACTCGTGGCAGCCCAGTCTCCATGACCACTCTGGGACTCTGGGGGATCACCAAGAAGTCAGTCAGCGGCGTCACCACACCAGTCTGTGAGACAGGACAGAGTGGGATGTTGTGATTGGGCACCGCGTAGCCCCGGGTTACGGGTAACGTCGAGGCTGGTTTGGAAGCCGATCAGAGTATGACGCCTTCCACCGTCTTGTCAATGCGATTGTTGTTTGATGTTCCTGCTTCAAAGAATAAGATTCTTTGTTTTAGTTGGTGCGGATTGCGATTGTTCAGGCGACTGCGGCCGAAACGAAATGACAAAAATTGGGTCGGATGAACTGGTGTTCCAGGTGGTCCAGACAGTGCCATGAGCAGTGCCGGCACGATGCAGCCAGCAGCTTAGCATAATAGTCGGCGGTCGCAGTGCCAGGTGCGCGAATGCGGGCCGTTCCACGGAATGAGGCATCAGATCATGCAACTGCCCGTGCTGTTGAACCACGACTCGCGTAGGTATGTTGACAGCTCAGCTCGGGTCCCATCTTCCACCACACTAGGCATTATCGCAGCGCCTCGGCCATCCGTCAGAACCGGTAGCATGGCATGGCATGGCATGACGGGGTTGCGTTGATTTTGCGGTTTGGTGCATTATGACAGCTGCCCTCCCTTTCGGACTTGGCTTGTCGTCTCTCGGGTCCTTACATGGCGGGATGCGCGCTCCCGCGGAAATTTTCTTCAGCTTCTCGGCAGAGACGAGAACTCTAGGCCAGTGCACTGGGACATCAGGTGAACGATATTGGCACCGAGGTGCAATATTGACGGGGGAGGGACCCAAAAGAGGTTCTTGGGCGGCTTTGGGGCCGGCTGGACGCGTTGGAATAATGGAGAGAGGCGCGCTGAAGGACCCTCACGCAGCGTGGGGTGCTAGATAGTCTGCCAATCCAGAGCCCAAATTCAAGTTCCGCGAGGCACACTATTCCATCGCCGAGGGGCGACATCCGGGCAGCAGCGGTTCTCGACCACGGAGGCCGTTGGTCCATAAACTCTAGAACAGGCGGAGGGTCGGTTGGAGACTGGTCATTGGAGAGACCCCATGCGGTACACGAATAATGTTGAGCTCCAGGCAGCTCCAGCTTCAGGTAGTTCTACCAAGTATACGAATAGCTCGCAGCTTCCAGGTGTCCCGTGATGGGGGGTGAGGACTGAAGAGGTGTGACCAAGATGCGTGGATAGAGTTTGAGTACCGGCATTCCACAGTGGCCATCCTTGTGATTCGTGTCCCCTGAGAGGGCGATGGGTTTCGGCTGGTCGCAGGATCTTGGGTGGCAGGACAGGGCGAGAGTGGGCATCACGACGGAATGCAGCTGACTCTTCCAGAACTCTGGCCCTTAGGCCCGTCAGGATTCCACTCGATGATTTCTTCCCGAGGCCCCTGGAATGACGACGATGGGTGAAAAAATGATCAATGTGAGTGAGATCATTGGACATGGGGGCCTGGCAATGCCGGGACAGTTCCGGAGATCCATCGATCCATCGAGCGAGATGCCTGGGTCGATGTGAGCAGTGAGCAGTCGAATATGACCGTGGTCGAGGCCATACCATGAGAGAGTTAGCGCAGGCGATTGACTAGGAGAATAAGAGGTGGGAGGCGATAAATCTGATCGTCGGGACGGGCGATGGAGCCGAGTGAATGGAAAAGAGAGGAAGGGGAAGAGAAAGAAGAAAGATGATTGAGAAAGGAAAAGATTAGTGGTGCCAGATGGATGGGAATTGAGCCCCTGTCATGTCGGCGGGCCCCCTGTCCTGACGCAGGGAAGCAAGAATGGGCGAAAGAGATGGAGAAGCGGCGCCCAAGGGTACGACTACACGCGCTCAGCCACGTACGGAATCTCTAGTGGGAGTTGAACATTCCAAAGGGAAAAACGGCAGTCTCGTCGACAAGTGGGCGGGAGGATGTTGGTGTTGGAATTGGGGCTTGGTGTTGGTGAGAAGTGGAAATGATTGAGGTGGCAGCGTTGAGCGGGAGGGAGACAGCACGCAAGATGGGAGGAAGGCACACCCGACCCGGATGGCAGCACAAAGTACGTACCTGTTTCCGGCCGACGGATCCGGGGACGGCGACGGCAGGTGGGGACTTGCCCGGAGGCCGAGGGCGGCAGGTGCAGCTTCCGTCTCCCACCTCAGTACTCCTCCACTGCCCTCGCAACTTCCTCCTCAGGCTCTAAGATACCTTATTCTAGCTACCTCGAAGTTAAGGCAAGCAGGTACCTTCTGTACAGCCGCGTACCTCTTGCCTCCCATTCCCAGAATAACGTGACCTGGCCGTACCTGGGCCACTGGTTTTGCCTGTTTTATTCTTAGCGCTCGGCACCGGAGCCCCGACTCCCCGGGCACGTGGTCTCACCAATCACGGCCGAACTGAACCCCTGGGCCGATCCAGTGAGGTCTTGCCTCGAGATGTAAGTCACTTACCGCGGTAAGGTACGGACAATCCTCACAGGTCTCGACGCCTCTCCATCTATTGGCCGCAAATTCTTTACTCTGACCTCACATCCATCATCTGAATCTCGCCCACCTCGCCCACCTCTCCCGTCTCGTCCATCAGCTCCATCAGCTCCATCTTAGGTCCCTCAAGACTCAGACATTGGAGACATATTCTACCATACTAGCATGACCCTTGATCCGGATCTATCGCCAGCCGCCTCGGCTCCTGCTCCCTTCAGGTCTACCGTCAAGTAGACTGGCTTTTCAGCGTATCTTTCTGGGTATATCTTCTTCTACACCCCTCCCACCCCTGCGCTGACGTTCATCGCATCTCACATTGGATCCGAAATCCCATCAAGGCGGACCCTGATGAACGGGGAATATGCAGCTGGCCTCCTCCTGACTATCCATGTCGATCCGATGCTCCATGGGTAGCTGCTGGATCGGTGGGTCGCTGCATCGCAGATCGACGGACCCAAAGCCATGATTCCGCCTCCCTGCTGGTCCCAATTCCATTAGCTGCCCTCCCGGATCGCACCCGCTCCCGCGCAAGCTCCCGCTCGGGGAGCCATCCCGCCTGCAAGCCGTGTCTCGACGCCTGGTCCTGACATCCATCGTCACGATGCACAACTTGGGCGCCAGAGCCAAGTTACTCGTCACTTTTCTGTGCTGAGAAAAAGCAAAGTATACCGGGAATACGACTTTTCTCTGTGTCACCCAACCCATTTTTTCTGGTTTCGTCCAGTCTTCCCTTCGTGAACGCCGCGAGCCTCGTCCGCACACCCTTCCGCCTTAACCTATGGACCATGGACGAAGGCTTCATCCCAACGGCGGGCTGCTTACTTGATGCATTATAGCAATGGCACGAACGAGTCGCTTGGCTGCTACACCGTAACGCCCAAGTTCAGAATCTCAAACTCTGGTTCACCAGCGGACCGTCCCGATTCGATGCAGTGCCTAGCCGATAGAGGGCGTATTATCAACAACGATCGTTGTTCGATGTCAATATCAACTTCATCTTCTGAATCTCATCAACTTGCTACATCCCAAGATTCGACTTGGCGTCTAGAAGCCTCATTTTTCAGCCTGTGCGCAAGATCGTGTCAAATTCTACACGTCAGAAAATTTTCGCAAAACCCATCGCCTCGAAACAGCGCAGCTGGGAAAAAGAAAAACTTGGACTCGCACGGCCGAGGGAGGACCAAGTCACGAAAAAAGGACACAAGGCAAAAAAGTAACGAACTCTCGACACACAACTTGTCGTTCACAATGACAAAATTGTTTGAAAATTTCAGAGAGGTATCTATCTATCAATACAATTACAATTCAAGCAAGGTGCGCGCGAGGAAAAGAACCTCTTTCAGTTCGATACCAAAACTTGTCGCCCCGCCCAATCATCCCTTCGCAAGATCCCAGCCAAATATTTTTCTTTCTTTCTTTCTTTCTTCCTTTTCTCCCTCTCTCTCTCAGCCCTGTCTAATCTGATACTCAAATCACTGCTGTTGACTGACTACTGCTCGACGTCACCAGTTGCGAATAGCTCCAGCTTCACTCTCTCCCTCTCGACGCCCAAACCTTCCAACACAAGTCTCACCTTGAGCATCCAATCTCTCGGCCCGCAGACGTAGTACTCGGTTCTCTTGTCGGCGAGGCCGAGCTCTTCTTCCGGCAATTGCTTCAGGTCGAGGTGCTGCTCGTAATCGTACTCCTGCCCCTTCTCGTCTCCTGGCTTGACCTCATTGAGGAAGATATGCGCGCTGACGTTCTCTCGCTCCCGCGTCAGGTTCCGGATGTGCTTGGCAAATACCAAGTTGCTGCTGTTGCGTGCGGCGTGCACCCACTTGATCGGCCGGTTCGGCGTCTTGGACTCCGGGCTCAGCACCGTGTTGAGGATCGACATGAGCGGCGTTGCACCGACACCTGCCGAGAGAAGCACCAACGGAACGTCCGCCTTTTCGGATTCTTTCGCATCCAGGAAGAAGTCTCCTTGCGGGTGCGACACATCGATCTCGTCGCCAACCTGGTAGCCGTCGTGCAACAGGTTGGAAATGAGGCCGGGAACCAGGCCCTTCTTCAGGTCATCCTCCGGCGCGTCCACCACTGTCGCCTCACGCTTGACACTGATGCGGTAGTACTCTCCTTGTGTCGCCGCGTCGCTGAGACTGTATTGTCTGGGCTGAGTGATGCCGCCGAGTTGCGGTACTGGGACCTGCACGGAGATGTACTGGCCCGGTAGATACTTGGGCAGGGGGAGCTTGCCGTCTGAGGGTGCGAGGTAGAAGCTGGTGACGGAGTCGGACTCGTCGATGCGGCGGATGATCTTGAACTTGCGCCAATTTGTCCAGGTGCCTGCTTCCTGGTACATCTCCTTCTCGCGGCCGATGAAAACCTGCGCAAGCTGCCCGTATGCTAGTGTCCAAGCCTCGGCGATCTCGGGTGTAAGTGCGTCGCCCAAGACTTCCCCAATCGCCTTCATAAGGTGGTGGCCGACAATGTCGTAGTGCTCGGGGCGAATGTACAGCGACGCATGCTTATGAGCGATGCGCTCAACGGCGGATTTGAGCTTGGGCAAATCGTCGATATACGTGGCGTAGGCGAGAACAGACTGGGCGAGTGCCCGGGGCTGCTCACCGGAGGCCTGGTTGCGAAGACTGAAGATGTTCTTGAGTTCGGGATGGGTGTCAATCATGTCCTTGTAGAAGAGGGTCGTGATGGTCTCGCCGTGCACCTTGAGCACGGGCGCCGTCGACTTGACGATGTTGATTTGGTCTTGCGTGAGGCCCATTCTGGCGGATGAGATGGAGAATGCTCGGACAAGGTTGTTTGTGGGACGAGCCAAAGTTGGCAAAAGACGAGTGGTCTTGAAGAGGGAGAACATCTACCAAGGGTGGTAAGTCGGAGGTGATGTTGAGGCTGACTGTGACGATGATGATGATGATGATGATGATGTGCTGCAGCCAGTGCTCAGCAGTCTGAAGTCTGAAATTTCTTATTGTCTGTGTGACGAAAGTCTGAAGTCTGATGTCTGGATAGGTAGTGATACTTCCTCTCTTCTCTCTTCCGTTTCAGAAGCGGGAGACTCGGGCAGTATTTATTTCCTAGGACAAAGGTGCACCATTTCCACGGGACGACGTTTACAATTGACAAATATCAGGCTTCTCAATGGTCGACGATGTGTGCGGACCGCTCATGGCCGCTGGCCTCCACAGAAAAACCGGGCGTCCCGTAACATGGCTCACTGCCGGTGGCCTGACATTCGGGTCGGAGTTCCACATGTCGTTGAATCTTGCATCTCCGCGGCGCGCACCCGTTCAATGGGCCACAACGTCGGCAACGGGATCCATTTCCCAGGACGGCCGGGGGTCACCCCTGACCAGAGGACCATGGACCACGCCGACGAGGGCGGAATCGTCAGCGGCCGCTTTCGCGTGGCTCGTCAGAGCTGCCGACTGGATTACAGGGTTGCAAATGCTAATCCACGGAGAGTAAGTCTGGACCTTGGGGTTGTTTTTGGCATTTACTTTGCAGTTGCGTCACTTTTGGATCGCCATAGCGACACTGAGTCGTTACATCGTGGACACTCATTGATGAAGGAACCCACTGTGGATGAAGCGGCGACAGACTTGTTGCGTAGATTCGGTGAGAACCGCCGACTTCAAAGGCCTCATTCACGTGCCACTCGTCACTGCGTAATGGCACTGACCTCTCTGCCCTGCCGGTAACAGCCGGTAGCAGCATGCAAGCTGCAAGATGGATCGAGAACCGCCCTCGGAGTCTCCAAGGTCTGAGATGTTGCAGACGCGCACTCTCTTCTGTCAAAGTTGTCACGAGCACGGCGCGGCGGCCAAGCGTCCGAGTTCCAGAGGAGCCAGAAACATCCAACCTCTCTGGTGGCGTAGGTGGTTCCTGGCACTAACTCAATTAGCAACGCTGCCTCCCTCGCCTGTCAAAGCCTAATTCTGCAGGCGGAAACCAGCTGTGGCGTGTGTTGGAGCAGGGTACATGGGATGCTAGACACTGGTTTCTCTTTTTTCCTCTCAGTCGATTACAGTGGCGTCCCCAGCTATCGATTCTGTGCCTGGAATTGATTCTTGACAGATGGTGAGGAAAGGGACGGTGGAACATGGAGGGTGAGGTGTACCGAGTGGCCGACGCCTCACACTCACCAGAGTCAAGAGTCAAGAGTCAAGAGTCAAGAGTTCAACAGGCGAGAAACATGGATTTCAGAGACGAGAGACAACAATGTCGCACCGCCACTCCCGTTTTGAGTGGCTTGTAATTCGATCTGTTTGTAATTCGTCCGTACGGGTTCAGTTGGGCATTTGCGTCACATTTCGTGGGAGTCACCGTCCTGCTAGTTTCGCTGAATATCGTTCGACGCCTTAGTGGACGCCCATTTGTGGGTAGACTATAGCAAATATGACGAGAAAGGAGCACTGGGTTTTCCTGCTGACTCGACTCGGAAGCAAATTGATTTTTCTTGGACAACAAACAAATACGGATACTAGGGCTGGAAAAAGATCACCGCGAGGGTGCCCAGTTTCCAGTTCCAACTCTCCCCGAGCCGACGGGATGAAAGTCTCCATCGGACTCATCCCAGGTGCTGAACTCCTGTGCAATGGATGAGCCTCTATGACTTGATCAAGACTTTGAATCCGATATTCCTCGTGCCTTAAGCTATCCCATGACCATTAACCAACGAACCCCAACGGCGCCTATCCCCAGCCCGGCCACAACGCTAAGAAAACAATCCCGCTGCGCTCTCCCGCATCCCGCCGCCACATCAGTGCAGCTTTGCGCCGCCAGCTGACGCGCTGGGAGCAATTACCTAATACCTCGCGAGATTTCCCGGGATGACTTTGTAAGAAACAGAAAACGCACAAACGCGGAACCGCAGTGAGAATCCAATGCCCAAAGAAATGTCGTGGTTCCACGATCCCTCCCGATGATCCCACAGGGCTAGCGGAGGGGCCCATGACCTGGGACCTGGGGAAACCTTCTCCGCGGACCGGGTCGCGTAGGGCGTGATGCGTGTTCAGGGAAGAGGGCGGTGGGGATAGATCGTGGGTCGTGGCCGCGAGCATTGTGGTACCCTTGATTTGGACGAGTGTGCCTGCGTGTAAATGTTCTAGAACGATGCATGCCGTGGACGAAGACCAATCATGCTTTTCTCATTGACGAGCGCAGAGAGTTTTGAGGTCGAGTATGGTTCGATAGAGTAGGTATTCTCAGCACGAAAACAAGTACCAGCACCCAGTTCACGTCTCCTACCTTTGGCTTTGGCGCAAGAAGCCCCAAACCGACAGTGTAAACTCATGATACGCAGTAAAGACGTGCTTGCTGAAGGCACCGTTACCCCAATCTTGGCATGATTCCACTTTACCGCAGCTGCCTTGGTGCGTTTGGCACGTTTACGTCGTTACGCAGTGTGCGCCGAGTCGTGACCTCGCAGATCTCGCTATTGCGAAATGTCCGAGGTGCGAGCTTTGTGGGACCATTTTTTTTTGGGTGAGCATGACCAACGCGACGACACACAACGTCAACCGTGGGTTGACTGGGTCTAGATTTGGATCTTTGGATGGAGATTCATGGGATTTGGAATTTTGATGATTTGGTTTTGGATATTGCATCTCCTCGGTGAAGGATTTTATTTTTGAGATGATTGAGGCGGAGGTTTATTTGCGGAAGTAGATTGAGGCCGAAAGTCCACCAGGTCAATGAGATGTCAGGATATTGTGTTCTTGCAAATGCCAACTTGACGTTGAATCTACATGAATCTTTCGCAATAGTGTGGCAATTGTCGTGGCACATCGCCTGTCGAGGGTTTTGCTGTGGTCGGGATATCAACCTGATAGTTTGCTGCCATCTCATCCTTCATCACCACCAAATCGATCCCAAGAAGCGGCTCAACGGGAAGAAAACGCCGACGTTTGGATTGAAGGGACCAATTAACATGCTTTCACTCACGCTCTTCCGATATATTACCATTGCGAGAGTCCCATTGAGGCGAAATATGGCCACCTTGAGAACCTGCTCTGTTGGTAGATGTCAACCCGGGAAGTCAGGTGTCCATGGTGAACGAGCAGAATCTTAGATTTTTAGAGCTTCTCTGGGTCGAGTGACATTCACGTTTGTATGTTTCTCAAGCCGCGGTCGTCGTCGCCGCTGAGTGGCCAAAAGAACAAGGCGAAGACGAACAAGAGAAAGATCGCCTGTACTGGCTAGGCTGGCATCACGAATTTGTTATACGAAATCGAGCATTGAATATACTAAAAAGAAATACACTGCCCTCGTCATGAAGAGCAGATATACTGGCAAATTTAATCCGGTCAAGTGGTGCGTAATGCCTATCATCTGTTCCTTCACTTCAACAGCCTTATAACAATTTCTAGAAATTCACGAAAAGTCATTCCTCGATATGGAATCGAACAAAAAACCAAACGTCAGATCCGTCGGTCGAAGGGACTGAGATCCACACTCGGGTCTTCCCCCATGAACCCCTCGACCAACTTACCCGAAGCGCTTGGTGACAGGAACGGGGAGAAAGGGATTCAAGTATTCTTTCGTCGAGGTGAATACACATCACCGGCGTCGTATTCACTCTCCAGCAAAACGGTTCAAAGTTAGAACCGTGTCAGGATCTCGATATAGAAGCGAGCTAGAATCTAGGAAACATCTCGATCCAAATCGAAACACCAAGGAAATCTACCCGCCCCTCCTATTCCATCTACATCACCACCCTCAAGGCCTAGGCTCCCACTCCCAATACCCCTTCCCAGTACCCCGTCGCCCATCCCTGCCCGCCAACGAACTGCGGTTATGACAGCTCGGATGGAAGTGATCCTCCTCCAGCCCAAAAGGCCACATGGCAATGAAGCAAATCTCCCCGACGTCGCACCCAGGCCTACACTTCTTCCACGTGCTCCATCCGAGATCCTCCTTCAGCGCCTGAATCACCTTGCGGCCCTTTGTCACCGCACCCTCGAGCTTCTTGTCGTCGTCCCCGTGACTGTCGTCGACCACGCGCCGGACCTCCGCCTCGGAAACGGCCCCGACCAACGCCGGTAACGCCTGTAGAACGAGACCCCGGACATCAAAGAGATCTCCGCAGAGCCGTTGGACGACAGCATCGACAGCAATGTACATCATCCCGTCTTCGGGTGTCCACTCGGCCTTCCAAACCGTCGCCGGCGTCAAAAAGTGCTTCACGCACCGCTCCCTCGCCTCTCTCACGTACTCATCCTCCTCCTCCTTCTGCTCCTTCGCAACAACAGCAGAATCGTCCGCATCCCTCGGATAATCCACAAACGTATTCGTAACAGTCAAAACCTGCGCCACAAACCCCTCATCCCCTCCATCCGCCCCCTCATCCGCCAACGTCTCAATCCGATCCCCATGCCTCGTAACAATCATATCAACAACGCCCTGCCAATCAACCCTCCCATCCTCCCACCCCGCCCCCTTTACAATCTCCCCAACCCGTCCAAGCATAATTCCCCTCTCCGCCTCCGTCAACCGTCCCAGGCGCGGCATATCGACCCTCCCATTCGGATTACTCACATTCAAAGGATACCACAACCCGCTCACCATCCCCCCAAACCCAAGCCTCACCCGCCCGCCGCCGATGCCATCATACCGCTGCCCGACGGCCCTCGCCCACTCAAACATGTCGATACCGCCCCCTGCCTCGGGGACATCATTCCACGGCCGCCGCAGCACGCTCTCGAGCGCAAGTCCGTCGTGGAAGTCGCAGTAAATCGCCTCGAAGCCGATTTCCATCCTAATCACACCGTCGAGACCCCACGCCTTGACGACATCACATATATCGGCGGCCCGGTCCCACTCCCCGAACCCGGGCGCCTCCTTGAGACCGCGCAGCAGGAAATCCTGTGTGTCGAGCGTGCCCATGCCAGTTTTACCGGCCGCCATGCCGTCGAGGTACAGCAGCTTCAGATCCCGCTTCGCGCGGTAGGTGTGGAAGTATCCCCGGACGGGCTTCCCGTCGCCGCCGCCGGGTCCGCCAGGTCCCTTCGGAGGAGGCTTCTTTCTGTCATCATCGTCGTCGACATCCGCCCCAATAGGCCGTTGACTTCCCTCCTGTCCCATCATGAGAATAGGCTCCGAGCCATGCGGTCCTTCAGGTGGTCCACCGCCACCACTACCCGGCGGACCCCCGGGACCCTTACCCTTCCCAGGCGGCCTCGGAGGCGGCGACCCCCTCCCGCCCCGGAAGCTCCTCGCGAACCCCTCCGAGTGCTCCATCTCGAACGCGAGCCACTCGAAGCTGTCGGGGGTACTATTCGACCTCGTGCCGTGATACAGCAGCGTGCCCTTGGGCACCGTGGCGGGAATGAGACCCAGCCCGTTGTGATGCAGCGAGGAACCCCATTGCCGCATGGCAGAGTGCACGGCGTTGAAGATGTGCACCGCATTCTCTCGCGCATGATCCGCGCTCGGCGCGAAGTCGACTGACGACGATGATGTTGTTGTCGGTGGTGATTGATGATTAGGCGGTCGCGGCGCCGAAATGGGCTCGGCCGAGACGAGAGCCGTCACCGGAGATAAACCCAGGCCAGCAGATAGCGCCAAGACGGCGGCGGCCGAGACGAGGTGAACCATAATGTTCACCTTGGGACAAAGTTGAGGTACGGATTTGGAAAAGGAACACACCAGATCTAGAAACACTGTTGAGCCATGTTCAGTCGAGATAAAACAAAACGAAAAGATAAAAGATAAAAACGGAGGCACAGCTCGGGAGGTGGCAGCTTATGGCTGCGGCTTAGCTTATCAATCGGAAGGATCAGCTCCCAGAATGGCCCTGGTTCGCAGCCCGGTGCGTTGGGTACGCGCGGCTGGCCGCGACAACTGACTGATTCAAGTGATTCGCGGTGAGACTGGAGATGTAGCAATCGGAAATCCGACCGGGGCTTGCGGCTTGCGCGGCGCTCTCGGCCGTCCGCCAGCTAAACCTGTCACCTGGTGTCGTCTGGGATCACCCCAACACAATTGTCCTCATCGAAACATTTCATCCCCCATCTTCACACCATCTCTCTGATCATCTCTCGCCTCTCGCCATCAGTTAAAGATAACATTTGCAGTTTCACAAACTAAAGTCGTACTAAAGTGGGGATATCAATTCGAGTACTGACGAAGAAAGCCATCTAGCAACCATACATCTCAGTTTATGAAAGACCCCGAGAACCGCCGTTTTTTCTTTCCACGATACCATGATTTCTTAGTGCCTCAAGTCCGAGCCGCAACATGCCACAACCTCATAATACGTTTATTCGCAGGAAATCAGCCCCAGACATTTAGTGGCCATCGTCACCGTTCTGGCCATTAGTCTTTCCAGAGACGACGGGAATCTCCTTCTTCTCAGTAAAGTGACGAGGTAGACGGTTCTCGCTGTCGCTGTAAGGCTTGCCGGCCTCCTCGCGAGCCATGTCATTGACCCAGCGCTCATTGCCGCGCAGACCAGGCTTGACACCGACTTCGGCCCACTTGGCGGCAAGGTAGAACCAGCCCAGAGCATTGCCGACAGTGCCGACCTCATCGCTCACACCAGTGGCGGCGGCGTGGCTCATCTTCTTGTGCAGGTCAGCATCGGTGAAGAGGTTCAATAGATGACCTGCAACGGCCTTGTAGTCGCCGGGCTTGACCAAGAAGCCGTTGACGTTATCCTTGACCTGAAGCGGAATACCGCCAGCAAGAGTCGCAATGACTGGACGGCCAGCGTGCAGCGCCTCCGAGACCTTGACCTCAAAACCCTCGCGGGTAGAGAGCTGAAGGACAACGTGAGCGTTGGCAATGACGGTGTTGAGGAGCTGGTCATTGGGCTCGAGGCGCATGATGCTGCAGTCCTTGACGAGATGAGGATAATGCTTCTCGAGCTGATTCATAGTCTGATCGTAGATCATGCTCGCGTCAGGGTCATCGACTGAGCCATTGCCACAGACAACGAGCTGAGGGATGTCCGTCTCGCCCTTCTCCTCCAACAAACGCCGGAATTCGGCATAGGAGTCAATCACGGTGGGGATTCCCTTGGACGGGTCGAAGCGAGCCACCTGGATGATGTACTTGCGCGCAGGCCACTCCAGCTCAGTCATTCCCTGGTTACGGCAGGCAGTATTGTAGATGTGGCCATAGTAGCCAGTATCCCACTTGTTAAGAGGCTTGTTTAGACCATCGAGCCAATCAGTGGTGGCCGGGAGGTAGACCACCTTCTCGCGAGGCACGTTGTGCGGAACGAAGATGGGAATGGGATGGCTGATGAACATGTCGGCATGCTGAATGTTGCTCCACAGGAAGTTCCAGATGTCCTCCTGAGGGGAGCCAGCCTTTCCAGTGAGGTCGCTGCGAATCTGGATGTGGGATCTATAGAGGACAGGACGATCCGGTGTAATCTTCTTGATTAGGGGAATCAAGCCAGGCATTTGCGGGTCATCAATCTGGATGGGGCATACAATATTAGCAGCCGTCCATGATCGTAGCTGGGATGTGATGCAGTGGTGTCCTGTCAAGCAGTAGAGGGGTGGGGCGAACCCGACGAGCGAGCTCCTGTGGAGATGATTCCACATTGGATGCATCCGTGGAGGGGTAGTTGTGCAAGTGGGGGGAGGGGTAGCAAAACTTGGGGATAGCAGCTAGCTGCATCAAGCGGGGGACACTGGGTTTGGGGAAATCTCACCATGACAACGTCGGCTCCGCCCTCTTCGGGGGGTCGCAGAGGACCTCCCTCGGAAAGCCAGTAACGGTTGGCATTGTCCGTGATCCAGTCGATAATGGACTGCTTCTCCTCAGCCGAGATGCGCTGATCGGGGTGGCTGACGCCCTGGAGGATGTTGTGGATATTCTTGGTCACCCTGAAGACGCCAGGCCTTGGCTTGGGCACTAGCTATGATGTCAGATCCGTACGATTCTCCAACAGCAACGTGGTCTCGGTCCAATGCGGAAAACAACATACCATACCAGGTCAGGTCGACACCAATAGTTCGAGCAAACCTAACGAGAGCATGTCGCATCAAGGCGACTCCTCCACCTTGAGGGGTACTGCTGAAGAAGGCAATCTTGGTCTTGTTCTCGCGAAGCAGCTTGGCAAAGAACATGGTGGCATCCCAAGTCGGAGCACCGCAGGTATCCTTGTGGTTCTGGATAGTGTTGAGCTGCACACGGAAGCCCGCGTCGGTCTGGACGACACCTCTCCAGCCAACCTGGAGAAGAGGAACGAGGGAAGGTCCAAAATTCCTGCAATATTTCGTCAGTCACAAAGCACATGAGGCAACAAAAAAGTCGGTCTTACATGATGCACTTGCGGGCCATGGAATCGGCCTGCTCGTCAACGCGCTTGATGTCCCAGAAGCTCTTCTCCTTGTGCTCATCGTCAGGGCGCAAGACAACGGGGACGATGTCGAGCTCGAGCCAAAGACGGGAGCACAGAGTCTGGCTCATGTACTTGAGGGTCATGGGCAGACCAGCGCCAATGAACTTGGAGAAGTTGGCATGCTCATAGTCTTCAAGAGTATTGATGACATAGTCGGCAATGGCATCGTTGCCGGTCTGGGAGCTATCGTCAAGGTTGATATGCTTGACCGTGAAGTCCAAGAGGTAGACAGTGTCATGGATCGCAAGGGCAACCACAGCAGTGTGGGAGTCGGCGAAAACGGCAGAGATACCGCAGTAGAGGGTCTGTAACAGTATTGTCAGTGAAGTTCCTTTTTTCGTTCAAAAGCTGCACAGCAAGCAACTAAAGGAACACAGCGACGAAGTGAACTGAGTTAACAAACAACCAGGACAGAAATTCATCAATTGAGCGGAAGCTTCGGTTCATTGTCTCACAAAATGGGTGAAATGGACGCATCAGACCATGAAAGTGAGACATGCGGGGAAAGGCGATGGATATCGTGAATAGGCGGGAGGGGTTAACTCACAGTCAAAGCTGGACCAAAATGATTGCCTTGCTCGTGCATGTTGCTCATCTGTCTCCTGCGGTGAGCGGAAGCTCCCAGTGAGAACTGGCGACCCGGCTGCTTAGGGTTCACCATGATGGGCGGTGTTTGGCGAGATTGAGCTTTGGGATCTAGTATTGAGTAGGTAAGGGAAGTGTCGCTGATGGAATCGATGCCTCTCGCAGGGCAGAGTCTGAGGTGTGCTGAGCACAATCGTCTACCTTACTGAGCGGTAGACTTGAGAGATGGATTGTTGACGGAGAGAAGAAGTGAAGCAGGGGGAGAAATTTTCGATGCGAGGGGAGGGAAGAGTTTTGTGATGAGGCAGGCTGGAGTAAGGTAGGTATGGGAGCGAAGGAGGTAACGTGGGCAGACACGGTCAAAAATGAGGCATGGCAAGCGTGGCAGGCGTGGGAGGCGTGTCAGGCAGGCTAGGGGAAGGAGGGGGGCAGACGGGACGCGGGATGCTGGTAGGCGGACGAACATCAATGGGAAGGATCAATTGGGAAGCAGCTGCCGGACTGGGAAACAACTGAAGCGAACAGCAATATGGGAAGGCACGACGAGACGACCTCTGGAGGGCGGAAAGGCAGGAGGAGGTCAGGTTGCCAAAGAGGTTGACCGGGTTGGGGAAGCCACCGTGGGACGATTCCTGCCGTATCTGCGCCTTCGGACAGGAGAAGACGTTGTCAGAGAAGGAGCGGTTGTAGGTCGCCTCACCTGCCCTCACCTTGCATTTTGCATTGGATTTGGACGTGTCTTGGACCGTAACGACCGTACCGACCGTACCTGCTGCAGGCACAGTTTTAACATGCGGTATCGAGTGCCATGTAACGAGCGAGTAGAACAAGAGGCACAGTCATGCGAATGGCAGAGTACCTCCAGGTATCAAGGAAAGGAAGCAGAAGGAGGTGCCCTGCATGAGTAGGTACCTACCTAAGCACAAAAGGTGACATGGAAGGTAAGGTAGGGCCAGGAAGGAGCATGCAGAGGCTCTTCCCCGACCGGGACGTTCGGACGGGTAGCGGCCAAGTGGGGCCGTCCGCGAACGGTCAGCGTGAGGTCACGCAACGTCAGGCCAGATTCGGTACGTATTTAAAGTAAGGTGCCTTAAGAAGGTACTCGACTTCCAGTTTCTTCCTCAAGCAGGTATGGGGAGACACCGAAGGACACCATCTCAAAATCTCAGCTCGCAGGTGACGCATGGCAGCTCAAGACAGGGGCGACACCCCGCGTGGGAGAAAGCACGTCGACATGGGTAAGATGCCCTGGCTGTGGGGGGAAACACCCACCCTGTCGTCTACCTCAAGATACCTTCCTGTTGTAAAGGGAATTTAGCATTACGGGGCTTACCAGCTAGACTTTACGTCCCTGCCTTCTTGTCAACCTCTATTCAAAGTGGCTTACTTGGTACCTCGTCCGTTTACCGTATTTTCCTCTTGGAGTGCCGTTTGGTACTCCACGTTGAAAGCCACAGTTACACCACTTCTCTCACCTCCGAGTACTGCAGCACCTAGCGTTACCTAAGGTACCTAACATTAGGTACAGTAAGGTAGGTAAGGCAAGGCACATGAGCATGTTACCAGAAGTCCGAGGCGTAGGCTTGTTCAACGTTCAAACCATAGCCTTGCTCTTGTATTTGAACTATCGAGCCCTCATGGATAATTCCTCCGCTTACTTCGACACTGCATCTGTACCTTTCAATATCTCCCCAAGCTGGTGAGAGTTGAAGTGCCTGAGAGACTTGGTGATACCTCCTCCCCGTTGGCTGATGCAAGTACGTACTGTCCGTTACCTTACGCCACTGTGCCACCACCCCACTTGCTGTGACCTTAACTTTCAGGTTCACGGAGATGCTTCCTCAAGTGCAATGTCAACACCGCCAACCTCCATCACCTGATCTGATCTCGATGAACACTTGAGTACCTACCTTACTCCAAACATCAAAGGCACATGTTTCTCCTACAATCTTCTCTTTAATATGCAGAAACAACAGCAGCGAGAACAACAAACGCCGCGTGAAGCAGCAAACCTATGGCACACCAATAGTACACCACCATGGCGACACGAGCCACCACGGCGGGACACACCTCCCACAAGTAGCACCACCACACCGCATCTCATCTCATACACCCTCAAAATCATCGCTGCCATCCAAGCGCTGCCTTGCCCACGGACATAAATAGTCGGTGAGCATATAGCCATCTTCAAACCACTGAAGTTCGACTTTATCAGCCGTGGGAGGCGCTGTCATCGAGTTACGAGGAATCTAGCTCATTCCTACTGGGCTATACCACCCACCAACATTGAGCTGGAAGAACAGACAGTTGAAAGGTAGAAATGACCCCGCGCCTCGTACAGATTTTTCATCTTACATGAGGCCGACATGCGGCTGCCAGCAGCCATTTCGACTAAGCACACCCTCTTCCTTCTGCCAATCCGAGATTGACGAGAAGCAGATGAACATCACCGATACCTGCCACAGTCCGACACCGGAATTACCCCTCTTCGAGGAACAGCGTCATGGAGAACGACAGAGAGTCCCTTGGCTGTGGTCGATATGACATGCCCGTCTGGCTAGCTACCCTACTACTTTCTGCGACTCTGGCCATTAAGTCGACGAAGTATAGTGCTGTTTTCAAGCGCCATTTCTTCCCTTGACCGTGTCAAACGTTGCAATAATAGACGACTTATTCCAGCACGCCGAGGTGGAGAATAATGCGAGGGCCAGCTTAACTCGACCCCGACCTGTACCCCAATCGTTAGCTTGCCCATGCCAAACAGACCACGGCCCACGACGCTATTCTCGGCGCCCCGTCAAGTTTGGAAGCGGCTAGTTTTGGCTCCCAGGTATAACGGGTGCAAGGGCCACGGTGGTTGCGGGGGTCATGCAGGTCGTTGAGAGGTTTCGCAGGAGTTCCTCCCTGAATTCGTGTCGACGACATCAGAGAACCGCATCAAAAGCCTTACAAATCATTCATCAAGTTGATCTATCATCGCCGACAGATTCTCTCATGGCGTTCGGGAATTTGAGGACTCCCTGGCCTTTGGAAAGCATGGCACGACACCTTGAAGATGGTTCTTCAAGTACCCCAGACATGGGACACCTGGGTTCCACCACCTACGTGCTATCCCTGCCCCGGGCAACTTTCGCAACGTTTCTCCATCCCGTCGACCCCGCGGTTCGCTGTCGTATGCGCTTATTAGGGAAGTTGAGAGGATCTCTCGACTTTTCCGATCTTTCTGACTGCCCTTGCGTGACCTTTATTCTGCTCAAAATCACGGCGAGAGAGATATTTTCAGACAGGTCTTATGCTGCTAGATCCACAGCAGCGTCATCACCGCGATGTACCGGACCAAGTTTCGCATGGTTTATGGTGCAGACTTCAGGGCTCACTGTTCTCAGGATCATACGATTGATGCGCACCTAGGTGACGAATCATCTGGGCTAAAGCAACACGAGGTTCCGATTTTCCTCAGATCATGTCGTCCATCAATTTCGCTCCGTGCCCTGCTCTTTGCGTCGATGTTCTAGAACGTCCATGCCAGGGCACTCAAGTGGTGCGGGATTGACAGCGCGACGGCTCGGCCCCCATCTATGCATCACAAGCCAAGATTCGGGCGTCTTTGTCACGAGCTTGAGTTGGGCCTTTGCGATGGGATACGTCAGCGCCAGCTCCCAATCGCCTGCCACCCTCTCCAAGTCATGATATTGATCTTTGATCATCTTTACTGTATTTGCGCCTTTCAACTTCAATTCACTTTCGCCAGAAAAGCTGGTAGGTATAGAGGAGATGGTTTGCAGGCGTTTCCATGCTGCAACATGAGCAAGCAAAGCCCACTACCGATTAATGATGGAAATACCGGTATGCCTCTATTTTGGCTTCATTGGCCGAAACATCTGGGATCAAGCAATATTTCTTGATAGCGCCAATCATACAATGAGATCTTCTCGATCGACCGGATTTTCGATGCTTCAAATGGAAGACCATCAACGCACTCTCTGGACCAAACCCGATAGACTTGAGAGAGTGTAGATTCCCAACAGCCTTGTCGACTGTCTATGAAAGCATCCGGTTATGTGTACATCGGGAACTTTGGGTATCCGAGTTAGCCATGACCAGTTGCAATTCGATATCTGAAATGTAAGTGAGTGAAAACATAGATATGTGTCTTATCTTCAAGACGGCTTATAGGTTCTACGAGAATAGTGAAGAGATCATCTTAAGCTTCGGCACGACCAAAGGATCATCAGTTGTACCATCGGGATGAGCGCATCATTGTCTTCGCACATCGAAACGGCCAAGCCGACACTTGAATTCGAGGATACCGTATCAACAAGGCATGTGTGATATCCTTTTCGTACCGCTTATATTGTGGATTTCTCAAAACTACCTTGAAGATTGTTCATCCCATACATCTCATTCATGTCACACCAAATAGAGTGACCCACAATACCTAGCAGTCTACAAAACACCAGAGCTCCATGCCATCCTCTTTTGAGGCACTCTCTCCTAGCATGCAGACTTCAATGCTTCCCAAAGTCATCACCCTGTCCACCACCGTCACCAATCGCCAAAGACGCCGCCCCCTCCATCGCAAACCCAAACACACGCGCATACCACCCTTGAGACCAATAACTCATCTCGATATTATGCGGCGCCCCAGGAATCACACTCCCTTCCACCCTCCGACTCTTCCTAAACGCCGCAACATACTCTCTCACATCCTCCTCCCTCGACAACCACAGTCCGTCCCGTCCCGCAAGCCCAATCAACACCGGCACCGTGATCCGCCCCGCAAACTTGTCCTCCCAGTTCGCCAGCCACTTCCCGCGCAAATCCGCCATCTCGCGGTACGGCATCGGGCGGTCCAGGCGTGCCGTGTGCGTCAGCATCGCCGGGTCCGCCGTACCCGGCGGGAACATGAGCGCGTCCTTTGCTGCGTGCGGGAAGTGCACGTGTGACGGGGGCGGGTCATCTGCCGGCGTAAAGTCCCCTGTGCGGCAGTTTTTGACTGCGTTGCCGAAGCCTGAGATGGTGAGGGCGGCGAGTGGGTAGGCGGGGGATGTCTCTTCGGACCAGAGCGCCGCTGCGACGCACGCGCCTGGCGCACCGAGGGAGTGGCAGTGCAGCGCGATGGAGGTGCATCCGTTCGGCACGGCGAATTTATCCCAGAGGACCGGGAGGATGTCGCGGTGGAGCGTGGTGCCCCATTCCTCGTAAAAGGAAGAGGACGAGGGAATGTCCTCGCCGACGGGGGAGGTATCGTTGTACCCCTGGCGGTCGAGGGCGATGAAGGGCACGCTAGTCGCTGCGCTGGTGTGGCGGGCGGTGTAGGTGTCGTCGACGTCGAAGTAGGCACCCGAGTAGGTGCCGCCGTGGAGGCCGACGATGAGGGGAGGGTGAGCCGGGCGGAGCGGGTTGGAGGCCGGGGACGGGATGCTGTGGAGCCCGGAGACGGTCTTGCCGTCCGAGAGGGTGAGTTTGAAGGCTTCCATTGTGCTGCTGTGCGGCTCCGTACAGGTACGGATACGAGAAGGAGACAACTCATGCAGGGAAACTTAAATGGATTGATGCAGGGAGCATTTAGATTTATGTTCTACCTTACTCTACACTCAACGACCTTACGTCGCATCGCCTCTGGGCTAGCTTCATCATTCACGGTGAAAACTGGTGGGGGTTAGTGCCCCTGGGCTTTCCTCGGCTGTTAATGGCGGCGACATGGTTGTCTGGTTTCGGCATTTATGATTCGATTGTAAAGAAAAAGTAGTGGGCGATGGCGCCAGTAGTCTGCCCCCTCGAGACCTCAAAGACCCCGTCCACGGTCTCCAAGGGCGTCCAAGTTTGCAACCGCAGACTCCCGTCTATTCCGGATCGAGGCCCATTAACAAGACCATATGCTTACTTATAAGCTATCCATACCGTAGTAAAGGTATCCGCGGTTCTCCTCGGGCTAGCTGCCCCCGCCTCGGGGATTACCCATGCGTCCATTCCACAGTTTCTCAAAAGCTCCTCCCGAGCTCCCTTCCATCGACGCATCTCACGCCATTTCAACTCACCATCTTCCTTTCGCGCTTTGTGGTTGAAGAACTGCAGAGTTCTACCGCAAGACAATGGCAGACAGCCCAGCCGCATCAGCGGCACCCAAAGACGCCTCGGATCCCTCCCCTGCGATATCAACACCAGCGCAACCGCCAGCAACATCCTCAACAACCGGTACTGCACCCGCCGCACCCACCGCGCCCCCCACTGCATCGCAACCTCACGATGCTCACAGCTCCACCACAGCATCAGCACCAGCACCAGCACCAGCAGCCCCTGGTACCCCAATCCCAGCCGACGATCACCTCACCCCAGCCCCAGAACTAACACCCGACCCGACCTCGCCAGGCCCAGACGACGGCTACGCAAGCGGGACCGAGTCCGGCTCCTCGCGGGCGTCGACGTCGTTGGCCTCCCACGTGCGCGACTACAGCTTCGAGAACCGGCGGCGGTACCACCGCTACAAGGAGGGCCAGTACCACTTCCCCAATGACGATGACGAGCAGGAGCGCGAGGACATGAAGCATACCATGGTCGTCCACCTCTGCGGCGGGCAGCTGCACAGCGCGCCGCTGAAGAATCCGCAGCGGATTATCGATGTTGGGACGGGGACGGGGATATGGGCTATTGATAGTGCGTACCGCTCACTCTCGTCACATCTCTTCCGTGGGTGGAGGTGATCTCGGGCAGCAGAATGATGACGGACTAATGCATATGAATAGTGGGCGACGAGTACCCCGAGGCCGAAATCATCGGCGTGGACCTGAGCCCGATCCAGCCCGAGTTCGTGCCGCCCAACGTCCGGTTCATGGTCGACGACGCCGAGGTGGAATGGGTCTACCCGGACAACCACTTTGACTTTGTCCACCTCCGCAACATGGCCCCCTCCATCAAAAAGTGGCCGGAGCTGTTCGCCGAAGCATACCGGTAAGCCCTAGCCGTCTCCAGCGGATGGCCCGTGACGATGCCCCGGTCTGCCGGACATAGCAAACACGGAATAAGCACACACTCTCACACATGGACTAACACCCACCAGCGTCACAAAACCAGGCGGGTGGATCGAACTCCAAGAAATGCGCTGGGTCTACGGGTGCGACGACAACACCATGCCCCCGACCTTTGCCCCCGTAAAAATGGTCGCCAACATCAAAGAAGCACTCGCCAAGCTCGATGTCAAGATGAACGCGGCCGAACTATACCCCGCGCACGTCGCGGCCGCGGGCTTCGTCAACCTGGCGCACGAGGTGAAGAAGGTGCCCGTGGGGCCCTGGGCGAAGGACGACGACCTGAAGAAGATTGGGGAGTACTGCCGCGCGGCGATCTATGATGGGTTGCATGCCATTACGATTGGGCCGTTTACGAGGGGTCTGGGGTGGACGCCTGAGGAGGTGGAGGTTTTTCTGATTGAGGTGAGGAGGGATTTGTTGGATCGGAGTGTGCATTCGTATGTGCATTTTCATACTCTTGCTGCGCAGAAGCCGCTTGATGGGTGATGATAGTGTGGGTATGGGTCGTGGGATGAGTGAGAGACTCCCATAGCTTCTGGAAGGGGTATTGAGGCTGTGTATGATATCCCGAGTTATGACGGGCATGGTTCTGGAACGATGAAGGGAAGACATCAGAGAGATTGGGGATAGCATAAGCCTTGTTTTGAATCTCAGTTACCTTTTGTGCGATTGTCATTAAGTACTAAGGAACGATGACGGGCGTAACACTAGGCAAATGATCCTCAATCAGAAGCCTCTACAATTTGCGTATGAAAGCTGCGAGGCCCCGGTTCTCTTAGACCTCAGCTACACTACTTGGCGAGCACTTTTGTCGCCTGTTCTACCAGTATGACATCAGCCTTGCTTGTTCCGATGATCGGAAAGCTCATGGGGTATGAATCTAGATGAGTCTCTGGAGTGGAAATGCAACACCCAAGGCTGACCACACTGCCGGACTACGTAGAGTCATCAACGACATGACCCATCTCACCAATGTCAAGGTGTCGTACACGAAGATTTGTCCAGCGCAGCCATCAGACGAACGATACGCAGGGATGGCCGTACGGACCTGCGTCTCTTCATCGCTGGTCCCATGTCAGAGAAAGCCACATCATTCGGTGGAAAACGGCTGATTATCGATCCCCACCGATTTTCCCACTCTATTGACGCCACTATGACTAGTTTCCAAGTTCTCGGTGAGGAACACTTTACCTGACCTCACACACCCCCACCTTCACCGAGCTTTTCACTTTTGAACCCCGCACACACCAGGGACCCTTACGCCGAAGCTGAAGAAAACGCCCAAAAAAAAAAGTCTGAACGTGAACCACACACACCAGCACACCATTTGCCTGCCCGATGATTGAGAACCAGTCAATCTAATCTGCTGAAGAACGAGCTAACTCAAGAAGGGTCCAGAGTTCCAAGATCTGTGCCTTGAGCTTAGGCCCGGACATCGAATTACTCGCATTGCCGGCGCCAAAAACGTGAAGAGGCTATTTTAGTTCGCACCCTGTCACTATCACGTTCACTCTCACAAACTCATTCGTTCACATCTTCACTCTCATCCACACAACCACACTCACACTCACTCACACGCTCATCCTCATACAAGAACTTGTTCACTCACTCACACCTCCACTCACCCCCTCCACGTGCACACCAAGCCAGCCCAGCCAGCCACGATGGATGAGCTAGTCGGCTGGGCAAAGTCTCACAGAGCCGCCCTCCACCCGTCAGTCGAGGTCTACAACGACCCCAACACCGGAAACTCCTTCCGCGTCTCCCCCGACGGCGCCGGCGTCAACCCGGGCGACACCGTCGTCACCTGTCCCCTGGCCCTGACCCTCTCCTACCTCAACGCCACCACCACACCCAACCCAGGCTTCCATCACGACTCCTCCTCCCAAGCATTCCCTTCCTCGTTCCTCGAGTCCGTCCCACCGCACGTCATCAGCCGCTTCTTCCTCATCAAGCAATACCTACAAGGCCCATCCTCCTTCTGGCACCCCTACATCAAGACCCTCCCCCAGCCAACGAACCTCGCCGCCTGGGCCCTACCGCCCCTCTGGCCCACAGACGACATCGAGCTCCTCGAAGACACAAACGCCCACGTCGCCATCGCCGAGATCAAATCCCGCCTCAAGGCCGAACACAAACACGCCCTCGCCGCCTTCGGCGACGACCCGGCCAGGCACGACTACACCCGCCTCCTCTACAACTGGGCCTACTGCATCTTCACCAGTCGGAGCTTCCGCCCGTCCCTCGTCATCCCCGCCCACAGGCAGCACACCCTCTCGCTGCCGGAGGGCTGCGCCATCGATGACTTTTCTCTGCTGATGCCCCTGTTTGACGTGGGGAACCATAGCCCGACTGCCAGGATCGCGTGGGAGACGTCCGGTGACGCTGTGAGGGATGAGGAGGCTACGGTCGGCCTGCGCACGCTGGACACGTACGCCCCTGGTGCGCAAGTTTTCAACAACTACGGCACCACCAAGACCAACGCCGAACTCATGCTGGCGTACGGCTTCACCATCCCCGAATCGGAGGTCTTGCACAACGACTACGTTCACGTCCAGAAGCGCGGTGGTGGCGCCGAGGCTGCGGCGGAGAAAGGTGGTGATGGCGCCGGGGCAGCAGCATCCGGGATCAACAAGCCCAAGGATTATTTGATTTCTCTGAGGCCCGTGTCTGATTCGAGCTCTGTGGCCGCGCGATCTGGACAACTGCTTAGCGATGTCGATGGGGACGCGATTTTGCCTCCGTTTCGGCATGTGCAGGATGTCATGGTGTGGGAGCTCGTTCTCGCGCAGACGACGGCTGAGCAGCGGAGCGAGATGATTCCGGTGCCGGAGGGTAGTAATGACGACGATGGGAGCAAGGCAGATCTGGAGAGGTTGAGGATGATCTTGACTGGACGGGTCCCCGCGGCCACGCAGCCCTTGCTGTTCCAGACGATCGGCATCATACAGCACAAAGTGCTGCAGGAGCTCGAACGGCTGGACCAGTCCGAGTTTGAGATGGAGGAGGCCGAGGCGACGAGGAATCAGACCATGGCGTATCGCTATAGGAGGCAGTGCAGGAAAGTCTTGGAGAATGTACTCGAGTCTATGGAGATGCCCGACGAGGCTGCCTCATAATACGAATCGCAGGTACTTCTGGCATAGTGCATAGACCTGGCGTCACAAGCCTACGATCTCTTGAGAAGCTCGCCGTAGACAGCTCTCTCCAAATCATCATACAGCCTCGTCACAACCGGATCAGCATGAGGCTGCGACTGAACAAGAAGCACCCCAGCAACGCCCGTCTCCCGATCCAACCACCAGTGACTGTTACACATGCCACTCCACTGAAGACTCCCCTTCTTTCGCTTCCCCGGCACGTCACGCATGTTGATACACCCAACCAGCCCGTGATTCAGCTCCATGTCCAGCTCAAACTCCACCGCCAGCGAACCACCCCATTCAGCCGTGAGCTTCTCGAATTGTCTCGCCTGTCGCTCGTCAAGCTGCGGCCGGAACATCTCGTCCGCCGTCTCCTTCTTCACGAGCGTGTTATTCAGCAGCGCGGAGAGAAAGATGCTGTAGTCTTGCGCTGTAGTCCATAGACCTGCGCCGCCGCTGTCAATTGCGTTGGGACTGACGTTGCGCGGACTAGATCCCGGACTGAGAGAAGATCCGTCGCTGCCGCGGATCTGGAATGCGGCGGTCCGTTCGGCGACGTGGGGCATCTTGTCCGGCCAGAAACCCGTGTCTTTCATACCGAGCGGGCCAAAAATGTGCTCGGCGAGGTAGGCGCTCAAGGATGTGCCTGTGACGCGCTCCAAGGCCTGGCCTGCCCAGTCGGTAGCCGTGCCGTAGTACCACCCTTCTCCTGGGACGAAGAAGAGGGGTGTTTTGAAGCCTTCGAGCGTACCTGAGAGGTTTGTCACGGTGCGGCCGATGGATTTGGACCATTTCTGGAGGTCTGGCATCAAGTCGTAGCCCAGGCCCACGGTGTGGGTTAGAAGCATTCTGGGCGGTCTACGTCAGTATGTCACCCAGAGCAGTCAAGTGGCATTTTCCAATGATCCTGGTACCTGAGTGTGATAGGCGTAGTGTTGTCATCTAGGATAGGCTTCTCGTCTTCGTCGAAGCCGCGGAGGATCTGCATGTCTCCTAGCTCAGGTACAATCTTGCGCATGTCGTCGTCGAGCCGGAGCTTGCCCTGCTCGACTAGCTGCATGACGGCGGTGGAAGTGATGGCCTTGGTGAGTGATGCTACGTAGGTGAACGTGTTGAGTTCCCAAGGGCGCGCCTCGGTGGGAAAATCAAGGCGACCTGCTGCGTTGCTATATAGGGTTTCTGTGGCTGTCATCAGATGGGGAGGTCTGAGGAACACAACCGGAAGAAGTCTGACCATACCATCTTTGTTAATGACGATGAATGAGGCGCCCAGCAGCTTGTCATTCGTGTCTTGGCCAGAGGCGGTGTACTTGGCGAGGACGGCGTCTAGAGCAGCGGCCATGATGTCTGTAGTGTTGGGTTGAGAAGGAAGCAGTTGATATTCCGCTGAGCGATCCGAGCCAGGCACCTACAGTGATGGGCCAGCTGGTATTTATCGTAGTGCTCGAGATAGAAAGAAGACAAAAGCACAGAATGTGAGGGTCAACAAGAGAGGTCGCAAATGACACCCGAAGGACACGGTAGCAGGCCACGTTGTTGGGAAAGAAGACAGTTGACCGGGGGAAGTTGCGCTGGGCTCGGGCTGCCGTGTCCGGGGGCAAGTGAGACGGGCGGATTCGGTTGCCCCGCACCTGTGAACCCCGGCGTTCCGCCCGCCACACCTTAGTGCGTCTGGAAGGACAGTTTGCGTGAGCTGGCATTGAATAGTAAGCAGTAACATCAACGTTCCACTTGGCCTGCAGATTACTCATAATGACAAGGGCAGTATCGGTTTGCATGTGCATCATTAACCTATTCGGGTCGTTCACGTCGAGTCAACTACTTCGACCACACATCTCGAGGTGTTCCGCTTTGTACATGACTGAATACAACATCTGAATACTTCCACGTCCAGTGCTTAGCGTGCCAGGATATCTTAACCTATTCAAAATTGCAATGTTTGAAAGGCAATTTCAATACGTTTCCATTGAAATGGAAAAAAAAAAAAAGAAATGAGTTGAGTGAGACGTCGATGAGATGAGCAAACACGCGATGAGAGCCCTGTCGCAGGCTCAGAGTGAAAGATGCGAGGGTAGTTGAAAGTAAGCATAACTTGCTTAAGTTCAGATGAACAAAGCCTGGGATAATGTGCCGTTCTCAAAATCTCCGCCACAGACAGCCGCTGCCTCAAGACTGGGACTGCTACAATACATACAGTGTTCATTTCTTGAACCCTTGCCGTATTGCCCGCCGGGGGCTAGGCGCGGTGTTCCCGAGCCCCGGCCCTCACTACGGCCCCACTCGGACCCTGCCCTCTCCGGAATCAGTCATATCGCGCACGAGTCAAACTTGCAATGAGAGCGG